TGTGTTTGATAAGATTTGGGACATGAATATATTACAGTGCAGATGGTTAGAAATTCACTGCCTTCTTTTTCAAGCCAGGAATTTACTGTTAACATCTTTGAATTGGGAGAGAGAGAGCAGTTCCCAAGCCTTCAGTCTCTGAATTCTGGAAGAGCAGGGATTGAGTTGAATGCAAAGGATGTTAGGATGTATTTTCCAGAATACCCAGATGTTGCATCTGCTCCCAAAGAGAGCAGAATGTGAAGGATGTATTTTCCAGAATACCCAGATGTTCCATCTGCTCCCAAAGATGGGTGAAGAGGTATTTTAACCAAATCAAGATCCCAGAACCGATCTCTCTTCTTTGGGAGTAGCACCACACCATTCCCTTCCACTTATTAGAAAGTTTATAGCTGGCATCCTGGTATCCGACTATCATCGGCAAACCAGGATATCGAAAGTGACATAACTAACCAAAAAGAATTAAACACGATGTTTCGTTTCAGGATGATGAAATTAACCAGCAGAGCCAGCTGGCTGAAAAGCTGAAGCAACAGATGTTGGATCAGGATGAGGTAAAGTTTGCAGTAAATTTTTTTTTTTTTTTACAAAGTTCTTTTATTACTCTTTGTTATTGATGTTTGTTCCAGAAACTTAATTTGCAAAGAATTTTTTTTTTGAAATCACTGAATCATGTGAAAATTTCTTGGTAGATTTCTCTTCATTGCCTGTTAAACACTGATTTTGCCTGAATGTAGAAAATAAATGTCTGACTTTGTAGAGCTCTGGCGTTTTGAGAGTAAGTAGCTGATTGCTACACTTAGTCTTTAAAGAATAGAGACGAAGGAGCGTCATAGTCTGGCAAGGATGGTTCTGCTTCCTCATATCTAGTGCCCAGCATTCCTGTTTCCTGCCGTTTTAGCCAGACATTTTTCAGCTTCGCAGATGAGCCAGCTCATGTCTTTGATATACACCATGTTCTCGTGCTATCTTGTAGGAATAATAAACAAACAAACAAGCAGAAGGTAGAGGAATAGAAAGCAAAGAGGAAAGAGGTCCAAATGCCGTGTTAGTATCTATGTGGTACAGTAAAAAGGAGGCGAATTGTTTTCAGCCTTCCTGATGGCATTCAGTTCTGCAGTAGTCTTTATTGCATTGCACTTTGCCAAGTATTTTACAAACAGGAACCTAAGCAAAGGATAGACAGCCAATCTATTAAACATAGATGATTTGTAAGTCTCTTCTTGAGGACCATCTAAGTTTTATTTTTTTCTTTTGTGCTTTAGGGTGCTTCTTGCTTTGTTGCTAAAATACTGTAGATTGGATCGTGATGCAATTATAGCAGATGGCTTGGGTTCATGTCCCTAGCCCCAGCCTTACTATAGACACAACTCTATAACCATTTCCTTCCTTTTCTTTTTTGTTCCCCTTCATCTCTCTAGGGCAATGATTATGCCTCCTGCCCAAATACTTCCCTTGGCAGGGAGATTCTGTATGGCTTTGCAGTCAGATGAAACATTTAATTGATTTTCCTCTTTATTATAGCTTAGTTTATTATCGCTTAGTTTTTCCTGCCCTCTTCCTGCCACTCTATTCTTTCGCATTTCTATCTTGCTATAACTGCCTCTGATATACTTCCTTTTCTTTACTGTTAAAACTCTAAATATTTTTCTTTTTTTATAGTGTCAAGGCAGTATCTGTGCATTACAGGAAAATCAGAGAAACAATAGGCACAAAGATAATAAAACCATCCACAAGCCCAGTCATTCACTTTTAACTTATGTTAATATTTAGAGTATATCCTTCTATACACTGGTGATGAATGCTAAGAAAAATCGATAACTGTCCTTTTATACTGTTTTGGTTGATTCTGAATTTGACCAGCTTACAATGTGAAATAATGTTAATATTAAAAAGCCATGCAAGTATGATAGTCCTCAGAAATGATTCCCCTCAAACTTTGTTAAACATGTGGAATAGCCAGCCAGCTACAAAGTGTGGTTTTTTTTTGTTTTTTATTCTTATAAAGTGTGTTGATTTTTGATGTGTAATCAGTTGTTTGAGTTAAACCTATGTAGCTTTAAACTAAAAAGAAGAAAGAAAAAGAATAAAAGGAAGAAGAAACAAATTTTTGAAATAACATGCTATTTTTTAATTTAGCGTCTAGATGTACAATAGTGTTTCTAGTCATCCTGAGCTTTGTTGATTTGTTCTCTTTGATGTGTTTTTATTTAATTATTTTGGATAGAGTATAGAACATAACCATTTTAACATTACATTCACCAGTTCCATGCCATCTCACTTCCCCAGCTTTTAGCTTCCACAAGAAGAGACTATGAGAAGATCCAAGAGGAGCTGACGCGTCTCCAGATTGAAAATGAGGCAGCCAAAGATGAGGTGAAAGAAGTTCTCCAGGCTCTGGAGGAGCTGGCTGTCAATTATGACCAGAAGTCACAGGAAGTGGAGGACAAGACCAGGGCCAATGAGCAGCTGACAGATGAGCTGGCCCAGAAAACGGTTGGAACATTTGTGTCTAGGGGGCGGGACTTTCTTGGCTGCTGTTCCTGTACTTATATCAATATTTGTTGGCAGACTTTATATAGGAAGGCAGTTGGCTGAATGGTTTTTCAGTGTTAGTCTGAGGTACCTGCTCTGAAATCCTCTAGTGATCGAAATATTTTATATAAGTGACTTTTGTCCACTCGTTCTAGAACTACATAGCACAACTATTTGTATCCAGGGGATTTATAATGTTAGCAGGGATGCTCTGTGATACTTAAGAGAATGCAGACCTTGGATCCAGGAAAATCCTAGTTAAATTTTTGACTTTACAACTGTTAGGCCTTAGTCAAAACATTTAAACTTGTTGAATATTTGTTCCCTTATCTGTAAAAATGGTCATAATAACCTGTGTGAGAGTTAGTGACAGTTTACATAAAGCACTTAGCATGGACCTGTGCATTTGCTTCAATATCAATAAATAAAATGTTGTATCAGCAGGCGAGAGTGGGTGACTGTGGAAGGTATGGATTTCACTCTTCTTGTTTATACCCTCCTGAATGAAATTCAGTTCCTCCCACAACTTCTTGTTCCATCCCATGACTGAGCTGTCCTGGTTTGTTTGTTGTCCTGTTTTAAACCAGTGCTTCAGTCTGTACATTTTCTAATTTTCAGATTTCCCAGTGAAAGAAGCTGCAGGTTCTGCACAGTGAGCTTGTGGCAGCAGGGCCAGTGAACATTTGGCAAGGTGGCTGGTGGTGGGATGTGTCCATTTTGTTCTTTTCTACTTGGAAAATGGATGGTAGGAAGCTGAATGGCTGTATGCTACTGCCCTTGGCACCATGGCGCAGTGGTCTGGTATCATGGGATTGTGCCCAGCCTGCTTTGTGGAAAACATCCAGTCCTCCCCGGCAAGGAGAAGTAGCAGATGGTGCCGGAAAGCTCTAATCTGCTGACTGTAGAGCTGATAGAAAAGGCTTCTCATTCCATACATTGAACTGCATGAAAGAAGACTTTAAATGCTTCCCAAGATGGGAACTACTGCTTCTGTGGATTTTAAAAACAAAAGCAGTGGCAATGCCAAAACAAAAATAAAAGCAAACAGAAAAAAAACCCAGTTCAAACATCACTTAAGAAAGGAAGAGACTTAGATTTTCTCTGCTTACTGTTTTCTGCAGGATTCTTTATTTAGTTTTGGTATTTGCTTCTCAAAACAATGAAACATTTTCCATAATATAGTTCTTATTTTCTGTCAAAAGTATTACTAGGCTCATTTAGAGTACTATTTTTAGTCAGATCATTAAAAAGTGCTCTAGTAAAATAACTACGTATGGAAGAATTGAGTAAGTCTGTTTGCGTTAACCTCCAAAGCTCCATAATTTTGGAGAATTATTTTCTTTGTTGGCCGAGTTCATTCTAAGATAGCTATTCCATTGATGTTCAGAGTTCGTTAAGTTAGTTAAAAATATATACCTTTTGGTAACATATATCAGAAATGGAAAATAAATAGGTTTGATAATGTTTGGTGATAAAATGGAGCTTCTGTTATATATTAAGAAGCCCTTTCTTGTTGACTAATTTTAAAAAGAGATGTAGAGTGTTCAGTTCAGCTTACTGTGAAGATTAGAAGGTTTTTTCTGAGTTGTTTTCTAAACTCATTAATGTTCCTCTGGGCCTTCCAGACTGAAGTCTGATGGGAATTTGGAAGTGGTCCAGGGATCAGGTTTGTTTGGGAGTGGAAGTGGGGTGCTCACAGGTATATTTAGACCATGGAGAATGTGGACCGACGTAAAACATCTGGTAGGTAGTAAGATATGATTACTCACTATAAACCTAAGGGCTCCTTTTCGGCTTTATTTTTAATAACTTATTTCACTAACCTGGAAGTTGTCATTTGATGTGTAGACATAACATATCAGGCCAAGAATAATTCTTCTAATCAGAGAATGCAGTGCTCTACCATAGTTTGACTTCAAAGGACTTATGTCGAAATCACATAAAATGATAAGAGAACTCCATCCTACATTATGTTGTTATTCTTGCAAGGCTACATGTATGAAATCGATGGGCAACCCTTTTAATTTCTTGTTAAAATGTGTTTTTCAGACTACATTGACAACCACACAGAGAGAGCTGAGCCAGCTGCAAGAGCTTAGCAACCACCAGAAAAAGAGAGCTACAGAGATCCTGAATTTGTTGTTGAAGGATCTGGGGGAGATAGGTGGAATTATTGGCACCAATGATGTGAAGACTGTAAGCCCTTTTTTTTTTTTTATCCTTTCTGCCTGCTCTTATAATGTCATTGTGTTAAGCAACCAGAGTCTGTGCTTTATTCCAAGTATCATTCAATGCTTAGCACAGTGCTTTGCATCTGTCACATGCTTGGTAATATTTGAATGAATGAACAAAGGGCTGATTGAATGAATAAGTGAATGATTGAGTAAGGGGGGGGGAGAAAAATATTTGCCTTTTGAATATAGGAAATGCCTTGAAATCTTGGTCAACCTTATGTAAATTGGTTTACTTCTCAAACTTATATGACACTGTCAAAAAAAAATTGGAATTAGGTAGGTTAAGCAACAGTTCTAGTCTCAGAATTGTATTTCTCCTTTTCTATGAGAATCCAACAGTGAAAATTCTCCAATCAGTATGAAAGCTTTTAGGTGAAAGTAATAGGATTCTAATAACAGTGGCTTAAAAAACAAAGCCACATTTAATTATTCACAGTGTGAGAAGTCTAGAATCTTGCCATTCAGGTTGTGTTTTGCATCACTTGGAAGCTAGTTGGGAGTAGACTCTGAGGCCCACCTCAGACCTACTGAGTTAGAATTTGCATTTTAACGAGACATTCCCTAGGCCATTCTTTTGCTTATTAAAGTTTTAGGAGCAAATTTTGGTTTGGTGCAGTGTTTCAACAGTGTTAAGGATCCAAGGATTATTTCCTTTCTGCTTTCCTCATCCTGTTACTTTTTAGTATCTGTAGATTTTTGTCTCATGGCAGCAAGATAGCTGCTACAGCACCAATCATCACGTCTTAACACAACTGCATCCAAGGCAGGATGGGCTAAAAAGGCAGCCAGCTTCCATCCAGGAGTCCCCTAGATATCTCCTTATACTTTATTGGCTAGATTTGGGTCATGTGATCACCCCCAACTGCAAGGGAAGCTGGGAAAGCAAAGAGAAACAGGATTCCTATTATTGGCTTAAACCAACAATGATTAAATCCCCTAGAGTTGTTCCAATTGGTGCCATTGATAGCCAGGAAGTAAGGGAGGTGAGAAGAAAGAAGCATGGGGATAGTATAAAGTTGTCCACAAACTAGGAATGAAGAGAAAAGAGAATAAACAGTTATCAGCCAAGAAAAGTTAATCATTTGCTACGCTATAGAAGAGATGTCATTGAAAAATAAGAGATACATTTAAAAAAATAACTTTAATGAGGTATAATTAACATGAAGTAAATGGCACTTATTTAAAGTGTGCAGTTAAGGAGTTTTGACATATGTACACACTCATGAAATCATCACCACTGTGAGATAATGAACATATCCATCACCCCCAAACTTGTATAGGTATCTTCTTTTCTGTTTCATTGATCTAATCTTTGTGCCAATAGCACACCATTTTGGTTACTATAGCTTCATTATGATACAACACCTTGTGCAGCGTAGCCATTGATAAATGCGTGTGGATTTAATCAACCCCAAGAATGGTGCTATATTACTCAGTTTCCACCTCACAAATCCCTAAAACCAAAAATTTTTTAATTTAGCCATTTGACTTTTAAAAGGCTGGATTCTATGTGAGCCTGCTCTGTGGGAGTTCTCAGGTTTTGAGCTGGAATTGTACTAGAAAAGGCTTCCCAAATTACTTTTGTTTATAGACATTTCTAGGAGACTTAGAAAGCCCTTCGTGGATGGTATAACAGCTCTAGGCTTAGAGGGCATGGCTTCTTGTGAACCTAACCATTCTTTCATGAAACATCTATTGTAACGGATATTTCATGAATCTTTATGAATGAACCTAATTATAGTATAGAATTCTCAGATATTATAGGATTAACCCTATTAAGCTCCATTTTGGTCCTTTTACATTTAAGAATTTATTAGAATTTTTAGAGGCATACATTGGTGTTGAACAATAAACTTCTGACGTTGGTGTGATTAAGTGGCCCTTGAAATATGAAGGTGGAGTTGATTTATGGGAAGTTGGTGCCTGCTGCTGATAACGATAAAGGAAGATATTTTTATGCTAAGTTCTAAAATAGAGCTGATGAAATGCTAATGAAATCAAGGAGTGTCTAGGTGCTTCAGCATTTAAAAAAAGAGTCCTTACCTTTGGGAATCTGAATTATGATTGAGATTATTTTTAAATACTCATCTGGATGTTTTAAAGATATTTTTGGATTCTAGACATTGGATGCCCTAGTTAGTTCCAGTTCCATTGAGAACTAGTTAATTTCATTGATAACTCTCTCTTATAGAGCAAGATATTAATCATTCTGGTTTCCCCCCCCTCATAATTATGATTTAATCATCAGAGCAATGAAAGCTAAAGAGGAATGATGTGACTTTGCGCAAGTCACTTTACTTCTCTGGGCTTCATTTTCCTAATTTATAAAATGACAAGGTGAACCCAGATTATCTGGAAGATTGTCAACTGAGAAATTACATGACATATAGAGATATTTCTTAGATCTATCATTATGAACACAGGTACTCCCTCCCCCAACTTTACTGAGATATAATTGACATATAACTGTAATTTAAGGTATGCAATATCTTTACTTGATACATTTATATGTTGAAAAATGATTACCACTGTAGCATTAGCTACCACCATCTTATCACATAGTTACCATTGCTTTTTTTGTGATGAGAACATTTAAGACCTACTCTTTTAGCAACCTTCAAGTATATGATACGATTATTATCACCATGCTGTTCTGTAGATCTCCAAACTCGTTAATATTATAATTGGAAGATTGTACCCTTTGTCCAATAACTCCCATCCCTCCACTCCCCTCCCCTACAACCCCTGATAACCACCACTCTGTTCTCTGTTTCTCTGAATTTGACTTTTTTAGATTTTCTAGATAACCACATATAACTAATATCATACTGTATTTATCTTTTCCCTGTTTGACTTATTTCACTTGAGGGATGAACCTCAAGTTTCATCCATTTTGTTTCAAATGGCAGGGTTTCCTTCTTTCTCATGGCTGAATAATTATATATAGATATATTTATACACACACATCATCTTTACCCATTTATCTGTTGATGGACACTTAGGTTGTTTCTGTATTTTGGCTATGGTCGTAATGCTGCAGTGGATGTGGAAGTGCAGATACTCTTATGAGATTCTAATTTCAATTCCTTGAGTTATATACCCTGCCTGGATTATATGGCAGTTCTATTTTTAATTTAAGTAATTTAATTTTTGAGGAACCTCCATACTATTTTTTATAGTGGCTGCACCAATTTACATTCCCACCAACTGTGCACGGGTGTTCCCTTTTCTCCGCATCTTTGCCAACATTTGTCATCTCTTGTCTTTTCGATGGCATTCATTCTAACCAGTGTGAGGTGGTAGTAGCTCATTGTGCTTTTGATTTACATTTCCCTGATGATTAGTAATGTTAAGTATCTTTTTATGTACTTGTTGGCCATCTGTATATCTTCTTTGGAAAAATGTGTGTTCAGATCCTCTGCCTATTTTAAAATCGGATTGTTTGTTTTTTGCTATTCAATTGTATGAGTTTGTTATATATTTTGGGTATTAACCCCATATCAGATACATGATTTGAAATACTTGCTCCCATTCTATGGGTCACATTTTCAATTCGATTGTTTCTTTTGCTCTGTAGAAGCTTTTTAGTTTGATGAAGTCCCACTTACTACAGATACTTTTATTGTTAGGACTGTTCAATTGATATAATTCTTTTGATCTAAGAAAATGAGCAGATCTAGAAAATCTTTCAGTGATCTTATATTTTCGTTCCTGAAATTCTTTCAGTTTTCACAACGTCCCTCCTGGTAGTACTGTGGTGTGAGGGGATAGAGATGGCAATTGGAGTCTCCTCAGTTCCAGAACATGACAGGCCTGAATAGTAAGGAAACAAAAGACTCATATTTCTCCAGCTCAGTCATGTCTTGAAACATTTTTAGAGTCCAGTCAATATTTCGTTAGTTAACAAAACGAGACCAGCAAATGACAAGACGAGCCTCGTGTTGACTTTTTGCAGGTTTATTAGTGAACCTCCTCTTTTTATTTTTTTAATGTATCTATATCACTGGGTTTTCCTTAAAACAAAGGTTTCCAGAAATTCAGCCACAAACTAATAGAATAGAGGTAGAGTAAATGCAATGAATAGATTAGCTGTCTAATTTTCTTTTGGCCCATACTGACTTCTTTTAGTATCATTCTGACTTTTCTGTTTTAGAATCTGAACCTTTTACTTGGCCTAAAGTGTCACCTTGCACAGCCACTCCATGTTCTGGAAACATGGGGTGGGATGGTGAGTGTGGGGGTGACTCTTCCTCTAGGCAGAGTAGAAGGGGCAGGCAGCATCTGCCTTCCCATGTGAAAGGCAGCCTTTTCTCCTGGATTAGTCATTTGTACTGCATCACGCAGTCTAGTATGTACTGTTGGAATTATCGCCAGACCCACGGGAGAGTTATAAATAACATTTCAGCAACAGACTCTGATTCTTCTTTTTGAAATAATAGTGTACTGGAATTACTGCAAACTTTGAACTTACATGACTAAATATATGAACTCTTAGGGGGTAAGAAACCTCACAGTTAATACCATTTGTTTGGAGTATTATTTTTTTTCCATTAGGCATGGATTCAAAATCTCCTTTTAGATCTACAACAAGAGTAGACTTCAGAGGTTCTGGTTCTCTTTTGGGGAAAGGATTATCCAGCTATCACTTTGGAGGAAGCTTGTCAATGTATATATATATTTTTACTCTTCCCCAATTCACTTGGGATTGGGGCATAGAATAGAAAGTGTTCTTGTCTAAGGACAGACCTGGAGAGGAGGAGGGGTTTGTCCCTTCCCAGGATGCCCTACATGTTGGTTCAGTGACGTTTCCCACCCCAGGAGCTCCTGTGGGTTGTGAATTCCACATAAAAGACATGGATGTTTCCTTACCATTCCAGAGAAACTGGACAATATACAAGGCATAGCTGGTCAGGCTAAAGAATGAGTTTTTTCAATCTCTTTTCTACATTAGACCAATCACAAAGGTAGAGAAACAGAACTGAATTTAAAGATTGTAGGCTTTTCTTACCCATTTTCTCCATGCTGTGAGGTTCTAAAGGGACTATGTAATGGAGTGGCATTGGTAGACAAATTGTTGGCAGTCAGAAATATAATGGGCTTAGCAAGAACCTCCATTAAATGAAGATGGAGCCAGGAGTTGAAACTTGGACATTTCCTTACTGTTAACATAGATTCTGAGTTGTGTTGACACTGATTTAGTAAATACTGTTATGGAAGTCTTACGGGAAGGTTGACACCAAGTTACAGGTGTTCAGTGTGGTGTAATGTGCTTACTATCCGCTACCAGTTTTTAGGGTTGATTCCATATTCCTAATTCTTAAATGTTTAATGAAAAAAATAGTCACATGATGACTCAATGACAGCAATAATGACAAAAGTGGGCAGTTAGAGTATACTGTGGGACATCAGAAAAACATCGTCGGAATCATTGTCTTAAAGCCAATTGAAGCCTCTGTTTATGGGCTGGGTTCTGGACAGCGCTCTCGTCTTCTCCTGAGGTGCTAGGGTGCCCTCTGGTGGTTAAACAAAATATGCACACAATTTACTTTGCTCCTTTGGTCAACTGCCTGTCAAGAGCATGTTTACATCTCAGCAAATGGATTTCTGTCCTAAGTATCTTGCTTCAATTTTTGTTTCCAGTAGGGCTTTGAAACTTAGAAGCCAAATATGAGATCATGCAGGAGAGCTGGCTGTCAGAATCTTCTCGTCTAAAGGTGTATTTAATAATAAACTAGATTCTTGTCTGCTTTGAAGAGGCAGGCACAAAGAGGCAGGGAAACATAAGTTAGTAGTAACGAGAAGTTATGCAGGAAAACTTTCATCTAGAGCAGGGGTCCCCAGTCCCCGGGCTGTGGACTGGTACTGATCCTCGGCCTGTTAGGAACTGGGCCGCATAGCAGGAGGTGAGTGGCAGTTGAGCAAATGAAGTTTCATCTGTATTTGCAGCCGCTCCCCAGTGCTAGCATCACCGCCTCAGCTCCACATCAAATCAGGCATGATTCTCATAGGAGCACAGATCCCTGGTGTGAAAAAGGTTGGGGACCGCTGCTCTAGAGGGGCTTTTGGTAATGACACATTCTTATTCATTAGATTTTTTGTTTGTTTGTTTAATTGAGGACTATATAGAAAACCCTTTTAATTTCAACCCTTAGTTGTAGAAACATATTCAAGCCATTAGATTACTTCTTTCTCTGAATAGCAGACTATAGAGAACAGAATTGAAATTTTGATTTGAGTTCTTATGGGGACTCAGAGGTCTTGCTGCTGTTCTGGAAATGTAAGGGTGTATGACATTGAATGGAACACCTCTTCAAAGTTATCTCTTTTTTTAATCTTCAATGTCTTTTCCTTCTGATATTATCTCTTTTATCCTAAAAATCAATCATAAAGAAAAGCCTGGTTAATTGACAATTATATTTAATAGAGGTTTTTAATTGAAAGTTTAACTGGAGGTTTCAGAGAACTTGAGGTTGAACGTATAGTACCTTTTAGAGATTGTTTTCAGCTTGCGATCCTATAACTGGGGATTCTTAGGAACCCACAGACATTTCGAAGATCCATGGACAGGTTTCAGGGACCCCACGAACCTCTGGGAATTGTAGGCAGTAGTTGAATTTGCTTCCTCTTGTGCTCAGTTGGCAGATGTGAATGGAGTCATTGAAGAGGAGTTCACCATGGCCCGTCTGTACATCAGTAAGATGAAGTCAGAGGTTAAGTCCCTGGTGAACCGCAGCAAACAGCTTGAGAGTGCCCAGATGGATTCCAACAGGAAGATGAATGCCAGTGAGCGAGAGCTGGCAGCATGCCAGCTGCTCATATCCCAGGTAGGTCACGCCTTTCCTCCTCATTTCACACCCGTGTCCTCTTGAAATCTGCTTCCTCCAGGTTCTTACTGGGGCTAATGGTGTGGAATATGGATATTGATGTACTTTGCTTTACGTAGTACTTGTCCATGGCTTCCCCAGGCAATGACAGCCCAGGCTTATTCCTAACCCAGGCTACATGTTGTTGTGTGAATTACATAGATTAATGTCAGTTCCTTTTGAAAAGATATGTCTATAAAACTCTGTCTAGCTGTCTATGGATAAGTAGGTAGGTAGGTAGGTAGACAGATGGATGGATGGGAGGGATGGATGGATGGATGGAGAGAGAGAGAGAGAGGCTCTGTCTAGCTGTCTATGAATAAGTAGGTAGGTAGGTAGGTAGACGGATAGATGGATGGATGGATGGATGGATGGAGAGATGGAGAGAGAGAGAGCCGCGCGAGCGAGAGCGAGAGCTATGGATAGAAATTTATAATGAATGGATAAGATTGGGTAAAATCTAAAACTTCAGTCAGCTAAGGCAACATTTTTTCATCTTTTAATCTCTACCATAGGTCCAATTTAATAGATGTAAACAGAAACTACTGCTACTACTACTATCATTATTAGTAGTAGTAGGTAACATTTTATTTACTGTTTACAATGCACTATACACTGTGCTAAGTACTTTACATGCATTATCTCACTTGATCTTAAAAATAATCTTAGTAGGCAGGTTTTATTGTTCCTTTTTTTTTTCAGTAAGGAAACTGTGACTGAGAAAGATTAAATATAGTGTCCAAATTCATACAGCCAGTGAAAGGCAGAACTCAGACTCAAACCAACATGTGTGAACCCAAAGCCTTGAAGGGATTTTTCAAGCCTCAGGGCACATTTCATTCTCTCAGTGAGTAAGGCTGCTCTTCTTCCCACTGGAATGACATTCTCATTTTAGTAAGGTGGTTTTGGAAAACAGCAGCAAAGTTCCTGGTCCTCCACTGTTATCTGAGCTTGGTGTTTGGGATTTGAGGCTTCTGTAAGTGGCCCAGTATTTGCTATTCACTGATCATTTGAGAAAACAGATACCAGTGTGAAGTGGTGCATCAGACAATACTGGGAGGCAGACAAAGGCATACCTCCTTCTGATATGCTTTTTAACATCATAATATGTAATTATAGAACTACCTCCAGCCTCCTTGTCTGCTACAATAATCGTCTACGAGATGCAAGTTAAAACATAAAGGTTCCATTTTATAACTAATGAAATAAGCAAAAATGTATTGAAAAGATCATTTCATGCTGGTGCGTTATAGTGAAATTTATAAATAGAGTTGAGAAAAGTATAATTTGGTTAGTCTTTTTGGAAAGCTCATTGAGATTCAAAAACCATCAAAATCTATGTTAGTCCAGTAATTTCACTTATGATAGTTTACTTTGGTAATGAAAATGAAAAATTTTCATGTTATGTTATGCCATTTGCTGATTAAATTATATTATAAACTTATATGGAAGATGTTGAATGCAATATTACTTACATTACAATAAAATAAATACCTTAATCTATTGATAGGCTAATAACAAAGTTATATGGAAGAATATTATGCAGCTCTTACAAAAAGTTTCTAAAACCCAGCCATTTGGAAAGTATACTTATATAAAAGTTAAATGAAAATGAAAATGCTGAGTTATATCTGTGCTATGCCTTGCAACTTTATAAGATATGCATTCATATAGGTAAGAGCAGGAATACAAATGAGAAATGTAGTCTCTCCTTGAAACAACGTGGGGGCAGGGGCATTGACTCCCCACCCGTCCCCGCACAGGTGAAAATCCAAGTATAACTTTTGACTCTCCAAACACTTAACTGCCCTTCATAGCTGCAGGGCATTGTTCCAGGACCCCCTCTCCCCCGCAACGGATACCACAATTTATGCCCGCTCAGATCCCCTGATAAAACGGTGTACATCAGTGTGAACAGTTCGCTCTTTGCATCTGTGGACTTCCGACTGGGGAGCAAAAACAATATAGGTATTTACTGAAAAAAGTCTGTGTATAAGTAGATGCGCATAGTTCAAACCTGTGTTGTTTAAGGGCCAAACGTAGTTGATAAATTAGAGTGGTTTATGGGCAAAATTTACACCACTTTTTCCGGATTTGCTTTACTGTTTCACATTTTTATACTTTATAAAAATTGGGAAGTAAAAGGATAAACATTAGCACCTCAAGTCTGATTCTCAGGTCACCTGTTATACTGGTAGCCTGTGCTTTTTGGGCAGTCCTGCATCTGTCATTTGGAGGTCAAGGCCGCAGTAAAATAAAGGCCCTGCAGCCCTCAGCCCACTGTTGTCTCCTCCCATGTGGGTGTACCAGCCTCCGCGTACAAGTTCTGCCTGCACTTTCTGTGAACTTGGGGGAGCTTTGTAACTGTCAGCTGTGATCTATGTAAATGGATGATGGAAGCAACAGTTCAAACCCTGGGAGTGGCCGTAGGGCCATCAGAGTAGAGAGTTTCTAGATTCCCAGTATTCAGAGTGTGGTCTAGAGGGGACATGGGTATCTGGTGGGCACACTCCCTTGGCCTGCGAACTCTGCTCAGTGGAATGGGGTGCAGCCAGCGGATGGCCCAAGTAGGGCACTTTAAAGTGTGGGGCCCAGGACTGGAGTTCCTGTTGCCCAGGTCATAAATGACACTGATTTTGGATATATGACACGAGAGTCAAGAATATTAGGATATTTTGGGGGTTAACGAATACCTGTGTTAAGCAGTGCTTTCTACATTAGCAACAAGTGCAGTTTTCCATTAGGTGCCGTTTTGTACTCTGCTACAATTTATACAAAGCTAAAGATTCAGTCATTATTTCTGGGGTTCAAAAGTTAGAGAAACCTTGGCTATTTTCTGACACGCTCTAAGGAATCTGACAAAATGTTTCCAGCTAAAATGCTATGATCCTCTTTGTTTACACTCATCCTCTTCACCAAAAGCTGTGCTTATAAATGACTGTTCCCAACTGAGTCCCATTTCCCAGAGGTTATTTCATTAGATTAGAGCTCAGTCTCCTATGTCTCTGCTTAAATGTGAACGCTGTAGATCCGAAGGGGGAGTGTCGGCATATTTCCATTTGTTTAGAAGTGACAGCTGTCCTTATTTAGTCAATGAGCTCCCATTCATTCAGTCATTCATTCCACTAAGGTTGATTAAGCATGCACTCTATACCCTCATGGAGCTAACAAGTCAGGAAATAGATAAATCATATGTAAGTTCGGTGCTATAAGAAAATGTTGAGGCCTGAGTGGTAAGGGACCTAGCCAGGTCCATGTCTGGGAAAGCTTACCAGGGAGAGGAAAACATAAAATGCAAAGTCCATGAGATAGGAATTGGTAAGTTTGAGAGAGAGGAAAAGAGAAGCTGTAGTATTTGATTTACAAAGATGTAATCCGGAGGTGTGGGGTCAAAGAATGAAGCCCTCGGCCCTAGACATTTTCCCAGCCCCTTTCTCTCCAGCACATTGTTTTCTGTGAGGAAGTGGGAAAGCCAGCCTGGGTTTTGGTGTCTGACTTATGTTGATGGCAAGGAGGGACATGGCCCAGCGCGCTGTCTGTGGGGAATGAAGCAGAGGATCCTCTGAGTCCATGTCCTGGATGCCAAGCAAAGGGCAGAATATGCACCATTTGGGTGATGGAACTCAAAAAGAGACTCAAGAACTCCTCTATTGCATATTCCCATTGGACAGTCCCCAGGCAAGCTGGAATGACCACTTGCTAGTCATTGACTCCTCTTTTTCACCTACTTGCTTGTCTAAAGCACGAAGCCAAGATCAAGTCCCTGACAGACTACATGCAGAACATGGAACAGAAGAGGAGGCAGTTGGAAGAGTCCCAAGACTCACTCAGTGAAGAGCTGGCCAAGCTCCGAGCCCAAGGTAAATGATCGACTACTATGCAGGTGCCAAACTCTTGGCCTAAACCAGATACTCTCTAGTTGGCTGTACTCATGATGTTTAGTTTGTTCAACTGAAGCATTTCTTGGTATACTGACAACGATGGCATGATTGGAAAAAAAGTAGAAACATCTAGAAGACTGTCCCCAACTTATATCTGCCCTTCTTCCCATTTCCCCTCAGTCCACCACCCTGCCTCCTCCTCTTTCTCTACCTCCTGCCTCCATTCTGTCTCCATGGCCTATCCACTTGACCTGCCAGATGCTTCTCTGGTTCTGCTCTCTTCGGTCTTTATTGTCACTGTCCTCAATCCTAATTAAGAATTGTGACTTCATTGATCTATTGAGGGTCCCACCCCCAGTCTACTCTAGGCTGGCCACGGAGCTGTGTAACCCAAGGGTCTATCATAAAGTCAGCTTCTATCTTATGCCTCTGACCCTTCCATGGTATCCTGTTGCTTTTAACATGAAGTCTGAACTTCTGCTAACGGCTTACCCATACCTTCTATCCTTTGAGCAAGCTCTTCCCTTTTTCTAGGCAGCCTCCCAACTCCCTTTGCTTAGAGAAGTACCCAACACATAGGGTAAATATGAAAAATAGAAAATAAATATGAAAAATAGAAAAAATTGAAGAAAGGTGACTAGAAATGCAGAGACCAGAACAGGGATAAGAATGGATGCGTGGCGGTGAAACAGGAACACACATATTATGGGTTGCAAGCAAAGTTGTTAGTTTTTCTGGGAAGCATTTTGGAAACCATGTTAATAATCATAACGCTTTTCATACCTTTGATCCTTAAATCTCAGCTATTCATTGCAGAATTACTTATATTGGTGGAAAAAAAAAAGGAAGCCACATAAATATCCAACAGTTAAATGAACTATGGTATGTTGTACAATAAAACATTTTTTTTTCATATTGGAGGTGAAGTACATGAAGGCTACAACAACGCTTAAAATGCAACCTTAGATTAAAAATAATAATATGTAATTTTATTTTTACTGTGGTTATAACATTTAAAAATCAATGGATGCTTGTATTTCAAGGCCTACAAATTAGTATTTGAAATGAAAATGGTTTAGATTGGGTAATAGGATTGGTGATGATGTTATCCTTTTTTTATTTCTCTTATTGTTATATAGTTATTTGCTCAGTAAATACATTTTGTTTCAAATGCCAAGGCTAATTGAAAAAGACAGAGAACATGCCCACCCCCACTATGACCTTGTCTCATTTTCTTTATGTGAAAATGGATGCATGTTAGGAATAGAATACTCCACCCAAAACCTGACACAGAAGAGAACTTTTCCCTGTGTAAATGGTTTCTGCTCAGTGATGCCACTGAGTGGAAATGAAATAGAATGGAGAAGACCTGAAATAAAGTGGAACAGGCTAGAGAGGACACTTAATGACTTGAATGTCTCTGTCTTAAATCATTTCCTCTCTCTATCCCCAGCCCCCAGCTCGGGCTGAGCATTGCACAATGTGCTCAGGGGGCCGCTGACAAGAACAGGCTGGGACTGGCCCCCCAGCTGTGCACCCAGCAGCCCTGGCCCAAATATGGGCACTTCCTGTTTAATCTGGAGAGCGTTACTTTATATTTCTATTTTCTTTGTTCTTGTCCTTAGATTGTTTCCCTGTTCCAGATTCTTAGAGAATAAACAGCTTACCCGTGGGAGGTAAATTAGCTCTTTCTGGAACTCTAATAGCGGCATCAATCTAAGCGCCACTAATGTCCACAGCGCTTTATTGTCTACAAGGGACATTTACGTACTTTGCCTCAGGGGTCACTCTGAGGCCAGGTGGGGAACCAGTCCTCCCAGGTGTGAGCCAGGTCAGTTCTGGAATGGCCTGTTCCAAGTTAGCACCACAACCCCGGATCACCACAACCCTGGATCGCCACTCCCCTGAGGACCTAAGTAATGTCCCTGAGCTGCCAGCCTTGCTTTAGCCAGAAGTCTTCCTTCAGAGGCACACTCCTTTGTACCACGGATTCAATCGGTGATATAGACTGATGTTTCTGCCCATTGCCATTCTTCTTTTTTTGTTTTTTAATTTTAATTTTGACTTTGTGGTGTGAGACTTGGCAGTTAAATCTTAAGTCATCATTTAAAATTCAAAACAGAAAAAATGCATGAAGTCAGCTTCCAGGATAAGGAAAAGGAACATCTGACGCGGCTGCAGGATGCTGAGGAAATGAAGGTGCGTGCGCCGCCCCTTCCCCCAAGCCCAGCATGCATTTGGCCTGGGTTTTCTTGTTCTAGGAAAATCTGTCTCATTCAGAGATGTGTGTGGCAGTGCAGGAGAGAGCGGGGAGGGGCCGATGCCAGGCAATCAGAGCTGGTCTCAGAGTGTGGGCTGGCTGAGAAATGAGATGGAGACGGAGGTGTCCAGAAACCTTAAGATGTCTTTAAATAAGAGTTACGTTACGTTTGTACATTTTTCTTCCTTGCTCCTGACAA